GCATCGCTTCTAGTAACAAGTGCCTTACTAGTAGTAACAAGAAGCTATTTGTTATTCCTAAAGACATGTCATGTTCCGACTTTCCACGCTGAGGTAGCGACTACTGGGCCTTCCACATTAGTGTGGTCGACGGCTTCGGCTATGGCCGAGACTCCACCTATATCACTGCCTCCTTTCAGCCGGATTTGGCGGAGCCGTGGGACTTTTATCAGGACTGATGCGGACCTTCGCAAATCTACTCCCCGCCTTCCAAATGCAGACTACGAGATGTCTTCATGGTGCTTTTTGGAATCCAAATTGAAATCGAAGACTTCTTGCAATAGGAGAAGGCAAAGCTTAGAGTCAACATCGAAGCTCAACACCACCTTGAGCTTCGTCAGCTTGATTTACTGTTATTTCTTGAGCCACGAATGAAACAGGCAGCACCGCTGGTGAACCCCATTCCGGTGAACTTGGATATGCCAAGGGCCTAGTTTCCTATCTAGTCGCTACTGGGATCTTGTTGGAGAATGGAGATTTATATAGCAACCTTTCACAAGAAAGGTTTCTCCCACAACAAAATGACGGTGATTCGCATCTCCTTCTGATGTTCTTTTTGCATTGTCAGACGGTCTTCTATTTCCTGAAGCTAAGGTTCCCGTTCGCTCACACCAGTCTGAAGTCTGTGGTTGACATTGGCCCGATCATGCTTAACGTCACGATCACGTGAGGATCCTAGCGGTCTTTGTTTGCGCTACCAAGACCCAGAAAACACAACGGGTCGGCTTCGAGATCCCTGTTGTTGCTGTTTTGTCCACATATACTATATGTAGCTATATATATATACACATACATACATACATACATACATACATACATACATACATACATACATACATACATACATACATACATACATACATACATACATACATACATACATACATACATACATACTAATAGGCACACATCACAAATCCAGGAATCAGCAGAGTGCCAGAGGTCCCTCACCGTTTGAAGGATGGGCTGAAGGATGATACATTTTGATGTTCCGTTTTCAGAAAGATTTGGAGTTGGAAATCCAGCTGGTTTCTGGCAAAGTTGGGGTAGGGTCATAAGCAGCCGCGCTCTAAGGGAGCAGTTCCGGCTCTCAGCACCCCTGGGCTACAGATGGGCTTGGAATATTTTTGACATTTTTAACGAGTTCATCTACCGATTCCTGCCTGGACAGCCGGGCTCTCAGCTGAAAGTGACATAGTCCCTCTGTTTTTCTTTGTGAACACAATCCTCGCCCCTAGCCTCTAGCCTCAATTGTGCTCCTGTAAATGAAAGTTATTTGCCATCGTGGAGTTTCAGTCCTGATAGGCAAGGAATAGCCTTGCAGACGGGGGGCGTGTTGAAATGAAAGCGGTGCTCTCAGGACAGCAGACTTTCCCGGAGCAGTTCCTCCCTTCCCTTCCCCTGATCGGCCACATGTGATTGTCTGGCCTACCTACGACACGTGCGCAGCGGCTTGTTCGATGGATGATTCCTACATTCACCCAGCGTTTCACATGAAATACTCACATGTGGTGCAACAGTTGAGAGCTTATGTTCTTTTTCATGGCCACCGCGCTGTAGGCGCCAATAAGAGCACCCTCCTACCCCAAAATGGATGGCTGCAGAGGTACGTGGCTGGCGAAGCGTACTTCCTGCGTACACTTCTTGAGGTTGGAAGAGTGCGCGCACATACATACATACATACATACCTACATACGTATATACGAGCAAACACACATACATACATCCATGCATGCATCCATCGGTCCATCGGTCCATGGGTCCATCGGTCCATCGGTCCATCCATCCATCCATCCATCCTTACATACAAACAAGCAAATAAAC